TACGGTTTTCAGTCTGTGATCTATTGTAATTGGCCTGTTCTTGATTCACCTGTTCTTGATTGGCCTGTTCTTGATTCACGTGACGGAGTTTAACCACTTATTTAAAAGAAATAACAAGCCTGTTTACTAAATACTTAACAAGTAAATTGTATATTTTGCAAAATTACAATCTTAGTTTAGAACTATTTATACTACAAATCAATAAGTGAACAAGCTGGTAACATAAAGAACTATAAAACAAAGCTACAATTCCATAATTCCCTCTTTCAAAAGGGAACATTGTCCGTAAGAAAGTCTGAACATAACAGCTCAATATGTTTAGCCCTCTCATGACTGTCCCTCCCACTTGTTCTAGTAAAAGAGAGCTGACAAAACCTGCACTTCAACGGTTTAATCTTCAGATGAACCTCGTTAACATGCCGCCTAACCTGGGAGTCATCATGAAATGTCTTGGGACATCTCGGACACTTGAAGGACTTTATGTTGAGGTGGAAGTTACGAATGTGACGTAGCACGTGACCCCGAGAGGTGTATTGTTTCCCACAGTGAGGACAACCTGAAAGAGGGAGTAACTATCAACTGGTGTCTGGAGGTGACGGGATTTGAAATGGAGGTAAGTTCAGGAGGGTAAGACCAGGGTCGCTCATCAGAAATGACTTCGAAATTTATCGAAATTAAAACTAGAAGAAGAACGACATTTAATTTTTTAACAACATTCCATGACAATACGCTTAAGACTTCAAGTTTTTCTCCGATTAGAGTGAGTTTTCCTCTCATGAGCCTTCCTTCTTTCAGATCTACCGAACGAAACCAGACAATATCGGCATCTAAATGGTTTCAAGTTAAGATGAACTTCGTCGAAATGCCGCTTCAATCGCCAGCTTTCTTCAAATCTCGCATCACAAAGGCCCACAACACATTTGTGGGCCTTTTTCCCAATATGAACAGTCCTTATGTGCCGGGCCATGTCATGTTCTCGTTTATATCGTTTGCCACATTGGTGGCAGTGATGATCGGCGGATAAGGAGTCTGAAACAAAGAAAATGAACAATAGAGGGGCACATTGCACAACTGTCTCAGAAATAAATCTTAAAGTGCTACAAAATGAAAAGTATTTGAGTCTCGTGTCAAAGACCTATCAGACCGTTTAGCTCATTCATTTTTAGACCTATTTAAGCTCACATGCAGAGACAGTATTCAAATGAGGTTTCAGTTTCTCGTTCGATCGAAGTGTTTTGTACTCTCGTGTATAGCCCTTTTATCAGATCTGCTGTACGAAGCGTGACAAAACCGGCATTCAAACAGCTTCAACTTGAGATGGACAGAGTTCATGTGTCTCTTTAGTTGCCAGCTACCCCGAAACTTTGCATCACATTGATCACACTTATAGGCTTTAATTCCGATGTGAAAGGTCCGAATGTGGCGCTCCATAGTCCCCTCTCTTGCGTATCTTCGGCCGCAATATTGGCAGGCAAAAAGAAGGTCTGAAACAAAGAAAAGTAAATCTCAGAATAATTGGTGTGATGAATTTATCTCCAGGGAGATTAGAACGTGAGTCAAAGTCCGGCACATCACAAGTTATGAGTAAAAACAAGCCAGCAGTGCAGTAGGGATAGTGTAATATAGTGGAATGTTAAACATGCCATCTAAAAAATCGATGAACCATTAATGTTGCTTAGAATGTCTTGTCCGTTCATGCCGAGCCCTATTTGAACTCAAGCCAAACGCCTGTTCACAAAATTGGCATTTATAAGGTCTCAATTTGAGATGAACTGCGTCGTAATGTCTCCTGAGGTGCCAGCTCTCCACAAATCTAGCGTCACAACGTTCACATTTAAAAGCTTTTTGTCCAGCGTGGATACTCTTGATGTGACGTACCATGTTAGCCTCTGTATCGTACCGCCTACCACAATAATGGCAGTAGTAGTAGCGGGGGTATGGAGGAGGAGGGGGGTCGTCTGAAACGAGGGGGGATAAGTCGCATAATCCTTATTTTCAGAACTCTGGTGTCTGGTATCACAGCATATTCCCAAACATACGATACAAGTGAGACAAAATAATAGTTTATCGAATGGGATAATAGGGAATGTGCTTTTTAATGAAATGGAATCGAGCAATGTCTATCACGATGTTTGGATCGTTGGTGATAAGTCCTATTTGTTCTCAGAGCGAAGGTAAGTTCACAAAATTAGCACCGACCATCTTCGGACATACGACTGACCAGGAATAATGGAACTGGGTAAATTGTCAGGTAACTGTGGATGTCCAGTGGATGACCCATTCAGAGTACAGTAGTGTGGTACTAGATAATGCTACAAAATTAAAACTAGTTTCTTGCAATGAGCAAAAATATATTAATCATAAATAATTTAGCCGATGTTTTTTTCGCTCATGTTTAGTCCGATTAGCTTTCTGCGTGAACGAAAGCTCGCAATATTGGCACTGATAAGGTTTCAACTTGAGGTGGACTCCGTTCACATGTCTCTTGAGCTGGCCGTTTCCGTCAAACAGTTTCCGACAATACGGACAGATTACAGGCCGGCAGAAATGCGGCTGATTGGGCAGCAGACAGGGTGGATCTCCTGGGGAGAAGGATTCCGGTGTAGTTAAACGGCGAACTTTTGTGTTTTATAACATTAGCATAGTGAGTGGTTATAGCACATGAATCAGTATTGGTTGGCTATTAGGAATTAGGATAGGTGTAAAATGCTATATATAATTTTATAAAATGCAAATTTGCTCTATATCGGCACACTATCACTACGAAAGGTATCGGAAAAAACTACTGAAAGAAATTAATCAGAAATTCAAAGTTGCTGTTAAATGATTCAAGGCATGAGTTCTCCCAGTTTCTTCATGCTGACTACGACTTCCTTCAAAGGATATGACATCAGCTTCTCCTTACAACTGTTACTAAAAGCTAGCAGGGTCGTCTTGTAAGTGGTTCCCCTCATGAGTTCACTAAAAACACCATGATCCACGATTTGAAGTTCAGACACATATCTGTTCCTGTAGAAATTAACACGGGGTACCCCACAAAGTCTACACGCCTCTGTCACATTCTGAGTTGATTTGTATTGGTCCAGGATTCTGTAATATTCTCTGGTTAACACGTCAATGTCACGGAGAGAGTGACGTGATCTCTTCTGCAACCAGCCGTCCGTTCCGTCGGGGTAGACGATAGAGATTGTTTGTCTGACTGTCCGGGAGAAATTATTTCAGAGGGTACGAATTAAACATTACGAAGTAAGTTTGATGTGATGGAGAGTTACTGATATGTAATGTGCTGTGCGCTCTATTTTCCCCAATAATGATTACTTCAAACCTATTTGTAGGACTATCTACCAACAAATTAGTCACCCAGAATCGGAAAGTTACGGGATAAGTTTGCCCTGCCGACGCAAATCATGAACTTTAAAACAACGACCATGTTCCAACAGCTGTTGTTTACACACATTATTGAAGGCAGATATACTTGTGCTTTCAATGGAATCCCTCAAAAGTCTTTCAAAAACTCCTCGATCTACAATCCTTAGTTCTGAGATATATCTATTCTTGTAGAAGTTTCTCCTGCACACCCCCACCGCTTGACAAGCCTTGCTGACACTAGATGTAGCCTGGTAAGCTGTCAGGATCTTGTCGTACTCCTCTGCCAGAGTGGCTAGGTCGTGGATTGTGTTTCTTCTTTTCCAATCGTTACCTCTGTAGTCCACTGTGACTGTAGTATTTATTTTACAGGGAGTTTTTAAGAGAGCAGCCTTAACGTTAACCACATTAAATGTAACTAAACTTTAAGTTTTTGTGATAGGATGAAACAGGTCAGATGATGTGTGATGGCTCAATTGTTATGGGACAGGAAACAGCCTGGTAAAGTAGCCTAGACTTCTTACGAATTCAAACAATCTATTGATAGACTAATAATACTTTGAAATAGCACTTTAAAACATAAATAGAATAAAAATATATCAGGTAAAGATATATCAGGTAATTACTAAAAGGCCTCTATAAATAGCATTAAAACTGGAGCCATTTCATAAGCAGCATCATATTGCGCAAGGTGAAATATATCTCTCAAACTGCTGCCAGTACTGAAGCAAATATTACTACACCTCCGGTTAAAATAACAACCAACTCAAGTGTTCAAATCCCCTGTGGCTTAGCACAGTGACACCGCTTAATATGGGAGATCTTCAGATGGTTTCTTGAGAAGTGGCGTTCACAGTAGGGGCAGGGGAAGGGCTTCAGCTTTAGGTGGACCCCGTTTATATGGCGGTTCAGTTGTCCGCTCCCGTTAAACGACTTGTTACAGTGAGGACACCGCCTCTGTTGTCTATCTGCGTGAGCGGGTCAATGAGACAGAGTGAAATATTGAAATAGTGAAATTATAGTGAAATGAAGTGAGTTTCAGTATAAGTTAAAGCGGCTTTCATTGTATCATGTACAAACTTTATTTCGTCAAGACCAATTACCAAGAAACTTTTCCTTGCTACGGATTCGCCGACCAAGGAACCGGTATTGAGGACATTTTTAATGGGACCAAAACGGGACAAGCGAAATGTTTTCTAATTTTGAAGGAAATCTATGATGCATTATTAACTCGTAATTTTACTTTAACAGGTCCTGCTGACGTAGGGCCAGATAAAACAATACAAAAATGTTATAGATTGAATCGAGCTAGTTCCTAGCTCTCTCCTGATTCTTCTAGAACCTTCCACGAGGACCAAATATCTCCTGATATTTACGGGTTAAACCACTAGTCCGTAAAGAGGACAGTTAAAACCACTAGTCCGTAGAGAGGATAGTTAAACAACAGTTAAAACAACGGTTAACTACCTTGTTTTAATTATAAACTTAGACCTCTCCGAAACATGTAGGTTTAGCGTAAGGGTCAAGGTGCTGCGATCTTAGTTTGTTCATTATTCCAATTATTCTGATTTTACCATCATACTATCTTTCACTTGAACTTCGAGTATCTATCTATTCTCCACGCACCGGTGATAACAAAAATAAAAACACGAATCGTCAGAAATCAACTCAATCGTCCACCAAAACACGCTTATTAAAAAAGAATAACGCTAACTTCTAAAAGAATAACGCTAACTTCTAAAAGAATAACGCTAACTTCTAAAAGAATAACGCTAACTTCTAAAAGAATAACGCTAACTTCTAAAAGAATAACGCTAACTTCTAAAAGAATAACGCTAACTTCTAAAAGAATAACGCTAACTTCTAAAAGAATAACGCTAACTTCTAAAAGAATAACGCTAACTTCTAAAAGAATAACGCTAACTTCTAAAAGAATAACGCTAACTTCTAAAAGAATAACGCTAACTTCTAAAAGAATAACGCTAACTTCTAAAAGAATAACGCTAACTTCTAAAAGAATAACGCTAACTTCTAAAAGAATAACGCTAACTTCTAAAAGAATAACGCTAACTTCTAAAAGAATAACGCTAACTTCTAAAAGAATAACGCTAACTTCTAAAAGAATAACGCTAACTTCTAAAAGAATCTTCATAGTTACGATCATGTGTCCGTCTGATATGCTTGACTCTCAAATGATTGGCCGCAAAAGAGTTATTACAGAAATTACACTTGAACGGTTTCAGCTTGAGGTGGACGGCGTTTATGTGCCGGTTTAACTGTCCGTTACCGTTGAAAAGTTTAAAACAATGCGGACACCTTTTACTGCTCCCTCCAATCAGTCCACCTGCAAGTAGTTGTTCAGAGAATCACTCATATAGCAAGGGAGAATCACTCATATAGCTACATATAGCAAGGGAGAATCATTCATATAACTACATTTAGCAAGGGAGATCAGAATCACTCATATAGCTACATAAGGCAAGGGAGAATCACCCCTATAGCTACATATAGCAAGGGAGAATCACTCCTATAGCTACATATAGCATGGGAGAATCACTCATTATATAGCTACATATAGCAAGGGAGAATCACTCATTATATAGCTACATATAGCTATAGCAAGGGATAATTACTCCTATAGCTACATAAAGCAAGGGAGAATCACTCATATAGCTACATATAGCAAGGGAGAATTACTCATATAGCTACATATAGCAAGGGAGAATCACTCATATAGCTACATATAGCAAGGAAGAATCACTCATATAGCTACATAATTAGACGGGGGTGATTCAAAAAAATAACATGTAGCTAGATCAGGCCGGCTTGGTGTGGGGGCCATTAACATTGGTAGTTAGATATGCTCAATACGAATATGCTAATTACAGACAGGTTCAAGAGGACTTATGGATTTAATAAATTGCACAAGAAATAAAAAGGAGATTTTTATTTTCGGTATTCATTTCATACAAGAAAATGTAAATTGAACAGTGCAGTGCTTCACGAAACACACATAAATAGTAAACACACAGGAATCTAGCCACCAGGAATCTAGCCGCCATGACGCCATGTTCCCTCCCAAACTAGCCGCCATGTTTCCTCCCAACATGCTTCTTCAGATCAGAGACCCTGGCGAAGGGCTGGCTACAATGCTGACACTTGTGGGGGCGGATCTTGTAGTGCACCTCCCGGATATGCCGGGACAGATCGCTCATTCTCCGTCTTATCATCAGGTCACAGTGCGGACATTTTAACTTGGCAGTTCCGCCTGGGAGGCGAGTTCGGGGCGTTCCTGGAGGTGAGAGAGAAACTAGACAATTGAGAAGGGGTTGTGAGGGTGCCGTATTGGTTTGCTCTTTGTGTGAGTTGACGAGTTGTGGTGGGGAAATCATGACTGTCATTATATTTTTTTCGACCAAACAAGATCAAAAGTAAAATAATACACCTATGTTTTTGAACTCGTTAAAAAGGTATCATGTCCGAAATGAAAATTGGAATATCTAGTGTTTTTCTCAGATTTTAGTTCTTCAATTCGCTGTCTGCTAAACAGAACTGTTCGTGAAGAGCTGATCAGTTTCATGTAATACAAAAGGATGTCTCCGCCTTGCGTGACGTCACACCTGGCGTGACGTCACCCCACCTGGCGTGACGTCACACCAGGATGTCTCCGCCTTGCGTGTTTCTTCAGATCAGCAGCCCGAGAGAACCTCGCCTCACAAAACTGACAAACATGAGGTTTAATCTTGTAGTGGACTTCTCGGACATGTCTCTGGAGGTCGCTCAAACGGGATCTTGTGATGGTGAGCTCGCAGTGGGGACATTTTAGGATGGAGTCAGAGCTCAATCGGACTCTGGGCTTCCCTGATTGGGGATTATGGTATGTAGTGGCTATCTGAACTTGTGCACGTGATTTCTGGTAGGCAGCGTATAATTTAGATGGATATTAGAGGAAGATGGTCAACAGTACAAGGAGCTAATTTTAGAGAAACCAGCATTGGGAAATTTTAACTAAACACCGACTATTGAAAATAAAAAGACAATGTAATATTGGGGTACTATTGTACAAGCAGAAGACATTGAGGTTATTGAGTCGGCAATTTAATATAAAAATCAAAATATTACAAAGGAGGATATGAAAGGATTCTGTAGTTACTAGCAGTAAATTAGGCTACTATAAAGTTCCATTATTTAACGAAACAGCATCTAGCCACAACGCCGCGCTGCACCCTCTGATGACGTCATAGTCACGTGACTTCAGGCTCATAATCGGTCACACCCTTACAGTTTACACAGTATCTCTCCCAGCCCCTTTGATAAACTGGTCCCAATGTTGTGACCTCATGTGTAACAGCCTGTTGCCACTCTGCCCGAAGGTCCGGTCACAGAAGTAGCACTTGTGTGGTTTCAACTTGAGGTGCACGTTGGTGATGTGGCGGCTTAGTTGGGATGATCCACTGTAGATCTTTCTACATTGTGGGCACTGGACTGCTTGACGATTCTTGTACTCTATATTACCTGGGAGACAGCATGATGGCCGCTGATTCTCACTTTTTAGATTAAAATGCTGTGATTTGAGAGCGAAGTAAGGATTGAGCTTTGAAACATTTTTTAAAGGGACCCACTTTTGGATTTGTTTGTTTTCGAAATAGATTCAGCCGAAATTCACCAGGAGATAATAAGTTAAGAAAATTACGATTGGTTAGAATTGAAAAATGCTCATTTAACGAATAAATAATAATAAATAATTGTCAAACATTAACTTGATTGGTTAAAAGATCGAAAGGGAGCTCAAAAGTGAAGGAAGTCCTAAAATAACTCATTTGAAACCGCACTCTTACAGACATTTTGAATTAAAATCTAAAAAGTTTTTTCTCTAATCGTATGCCTTATGCATCCTCTGAGCATGTTTCTCTAATCGTATGCCTTATGCATCCTCTGAGCATGTTTCTTCATATCATACATTCTGGAGAACATTTTCTCACAATATCTACACTTGTAAGGTCGTATTTTAAGATGGACGGAACGTATGTGGCGATGGAGAGGTCCTCTACCAACTATTTCTAGACCACACTCAGGACAACTTGATCGGGGAGTGAGCTTCCGTCTGTGACCTGGGAAGTGGGTTAAGTTTACACACTCCACTGGGTGGGGTAAGTTTACACACTCCACTGTGAAAAGCCGCGATATTAAGTGAAATTGGAGAAGGGTCAGTTGGAGGTGTGGGATACTTTTACACAGTTCAGTGGTGGTTAGTTACTGGAGCCAGCTTTTTTACGTATTATGTAGGCAAGACAATAGAGACAAGCAAGTAAAGTGAATTCTAAGGTTTTAATATTTATCAAAGACAATTCAATTCCCAAGTCTGAACACGTAGGTATACAGAACAAAACCACTCAATTCGTCACACAAGAAGATCAGATCAACCACAATCCATAATCGAAGTACATAAAAGAAGCAAATAAATTAATTTCACAAACTGATCATAACGAATAATGCAAATGAATCACCACTCCACAGCTCAATATTTGGGAACCCCAACGTTCTTATAATTATGTTTATTCCTCAATATTTGGGAACCCCAACGTTCTTATAATTATGTTTATTCCTCATGTGTGACAACCTATGTCCGCTCTGAGTAAAACTCTTGGCGCAGTAAAAGCACTGGAAAGGTCGCTCCTTGTAATGTACCGCGGAAACATGTCGGGGTAGCTTAGCGAAGTGAACGAAGCAATGGGGACAGGTCCCAGATTGGGAATGAGGGAGAAAGTCCGTGTTGCGTTTTCCTGGTGGAGGTCTGATTAGCTAAATAGGAGGGAGATTTCGCTTGTGATGGGTGGTGGGGGTGGTAGGATATGAGGAGACTGTGAGCATTTATTGGGAGTGGACTTCACCGAATTATCTGTTTTTCCCGACCTTATGTCGAGGCACTTAAGAGCATGTTCATTAATCGTATTCTGGTTCGTTTACATTAATGAAGAAAAAATAACTTGTAAATATTAATGCAATATCATTTGCATTGGCAGCAAAAGCTTGAGTAGATTAGAAAGTGAAATTACGGAGATCAAGAACACGTGATGCCCATATAAGGACACGTGATGCCCATATAAGAACACGTGATGCCCATATTATAAGAAGCGCTTAATTCTTCTTAAATTCCCTGTGCATGTTCCTCATGTGAGACAACCTATGCCCGCTCTGAGTGAAACTTTTAGGACAATAAAAACACTTGAAGGGTCTCATCTTCAGATGAACCGTTTGGATGTGGCGTTGTACGTTAGCGAAGGGTAGAAAACAGTAGGGACAGGAACCTGAAGTCTGGTAGCCAGCGTAGCGGTTTTGGGGCGACAATCCTGGAAACATGAACACGTGACTAAACACGTGAGGAAACACGTTACAAAACGGTGTAGAACTAAAAACTTCAGTTTGGTTTTGATGTGGTGATTGTGAGGAATTAACTTTGCTCTTGGAAACTATATCTGGGATGGACTCCTTCATATGCGACTATTGAAACTACTCTGGTATTAGTAGGTATAAAATAGGTGACAATAGAAACACAAATATCAGAAAACACACGATCAATGCGGCTGAACTATTACTAAAATCATAGAAAACATTTGAATTATCCTCCGCTCACAAAGCGGATGTGGTTTTTAAGTGATTATTAGTTATCATATCCGTATCATACCAAGTAAGGCTTTAGGAAAGTAACAATTAATCTCCATCACTGAATGTCCCTCCGTTCCCAGTTACTGTAGTTCTGATGGTCATGTTTACTTCTCATGTGACACAGCCGATGCCCGCTCTGAGTGAAGCTCTTGGCACAGTAAAAACACTTGAAGGGCCGGAGTTTGAGGTGTATTGTCTGTACGTGGAGCTGAACGTTAGCGAAGTGGTGGTCGCAGTACGGGCAGGTGCCGGAGGTTTGGTAACGTTTGTAGACTTTGGGAGGGGTCCCTTGTAGTGAGGAGTGAAATGAGAAAGAGTAAAATAAAGCATGCATTATATAGCCACGCTGAGAAAACTGTTCTGTATACGATTTCTTCTGTATACGATTTCTTTTAGTTTGGTTTACCTAGATAAAAATGCTCACACTCAGAAAAATCAAAAACAATCACTCTGAAAATAAAAATAAAAATCACACGAGAATTGTGGTTTTATTTCTGGCCTCTATCTGAATCTCTCTCTGAATTTCTTTTAAGTTCAGTTCGGTGCTGGGACCTCATGTGTAACAGTCTATTACCACTCTGTCCAAATGTTCTGTCACAATAAAAGCACTTAAAGGGTTTGATTTTAAGGTGGACGTTAGTGATATGCCGGTTCAGACTGCTGAATGTTTGTAGACAAAATGGACATAACGTGTTATTGAGTCCCCTCTTTTTGCTCAACTCTGAAAGTTAAAGCGAAATTAATTCTTGGGTAGAGGATGTGGGTTGTGATGTGGTTAGTGAACTTTCAAATGCCCCCTAGTTGAGTCATGGCTCTGCAATGAACAACCACGTCACGTCATCACAAACACGTTGAATCAAACTAACAATTTCCAGACACTAATATACTTGCATTTCTTTATATTCTGTGTTAATAGCTTATTTACTTTAGGTTTCCGAATGGTGTGGATTTCCCGTAGATTGGAAAATAGTGGTGGAGGTTAATAAATGGAAACGACTGTTTGTTTTCTTTTAATTTTAACAATTGTTCCAGATTTAGTAATTCTACATTTAAGGACACAACTAGAGTCCATACATTTAAAAAGTCAGTAAAACACCAAGACAAATAACCAATTCAGCATAGATCATAATGCTCCGTAATTTAAAAGTTAACTGTTAAAAAGTTTTAAACCTAAAACTAACGGATGAGAATTATGACGGTGAAGAAGTGAAATTCGAGAGTTATTTGTAATAAGTTTGAGGAACGGCCTATACAGCGGCCATGAATAGTGAAGCACTTTTCAGGTGATTTGCACCACGTTTATGACAGACTAGCATCAACCATGAGTATTTAGTCGATTAGTTGATGTATAACGGACTCCTTTGAAGTCAAATTTACCCGCCGAAAATCGAAACCCCGCAGGGTCAACGATTGAGGATAATGAAGCTAGAGACGCGCATTACGGTTACGCCGCGCACAAGATTTGATGGCAATACCTAAGCTTTGTACACAATTCCTTCCCTCAGTTTGCTAGTAGTTTGGGCGTCAATCCACTAAATGTCCCGCATACCCTTTGTTCTCGAATAGACAGAGAATAATGGCGGGAAGACATTCTAATTAGTCCCCACCACATTCCAGACAACCACATAATGTTTACTCCATACTTACACAGACCGAATTTCCGCAACATAAATTGTTAGCCTAGCGCTCTTCATATTGATACGGAAGAAAAACAAAAGAATAAATGGTAATGGAAAAAAGGCCCGGTACAGAATTTAAAAAACCTGGCCAAATGTGATGTGGCCAAGGTTCAAGTGAAAGAGAGACGAGACAAACGAAGAAATTTGATGTTTACAATGTTTATCAAATTCACAATCAAACAAGCCTTTAATAATTTAAAGCCAAAAGCTTGAACCTAGAACCAAAAACAATAATTTAAGGAAAACCCACTTAAACCTAACTTCTCTTACGATTTGTTTTAAGTAAGGGAATGGATGGAAATCGTGGGAGGATGTTCAGCTGTGGCTATCTGCACCGACATCAGTTGTGTGGCCTAGTTGTTGCTCAGTGTGCTCAATATGGGCCAGCCACATTACTCGGCTAAATGTTTATAATTTTATTTTCGGTTTAACATGGAGCCATCCTATAGCGTCCAAAGCGATCACAGGACCGATTCTTTCACATTCAGTGATGTAATCCTCTAGCTGTACATTCACTTTTTATCACCACCAAGGGGAAGCGCTCAGCTCCCACTTCATCATGCGATTCTATCTTTGTTTTTCTTTTAAAAGTTTTCGACTAATTGTACTAAAAAGTAAATCTTTCAAAAATGACTGTCACGTTCCTAAAGAAAATCTACGAGGAGAAAAACTCTCATTCATCAGTAGTAAGGGCCTATAAGTCTCCATCAAAATCCATACATCTAACATCCTCTACCTATCCTCATATTGTGAGACCCTTGTTTCTGTCACAGTCCTCAACGGTGCAGATAATACCTCAGCTGATGCACATTCACCCCACCAACTACAAACAAATCCCCTTACTATAAAAAGCCAGGCCAATTTGGGTGTTTCTAACTCCTTCGTCGTTATGCACTCGCGGTTCTAACCTTAAATTTGATGCTGGGTGCTCCCTTACTTAAGAGGCTTTATGCAAATTTAGTTTCGTGAGAGATCATGCAATGAAAATGCTTGGTGTAACAGAGAAATCGTTTTTTTGCACGGTTATGACGTTGAATTTTACACAGGGGGACTGTCATGGTGAAATATTTTAAATTCAGGTAAAGATCAAGGCAATGTTCGATTTCTTTGCGTCACCAAATTGAATTGTTACTAACATCTGAGGTAGTCGTCAAGCAATGACAAGTACAAATGTAGACGGGCCAATCAGTTTCGTGAAACGATCCTGATTAGTTCCACATTTGACTCTACATTGCTTGTTTGACTAACAAATCTCAGACAATGACAAATAACGACCCAAAACTTCGAGAATAAAACGATTGTTTGAATATACAATAGAAGGGAGGGAAGTCTTGGGCCGAATTATAAATGAAGTATCATTAAATAATGTTTACGGATTTGATAGAACACACTTTTGTTTTATAGAATAACATTCTCTCATCTTTTTAGGAAAGGAAATGAACGTTTTTTATGTCATTAGGAACCAAGATCGTTAAAAATTGGTTAGTTCCTAGTATAGCAGGAGGTATTTACTATTCCTGCAGTCCGACCAAGCAAAATACCTTAATTTCTGTTCACATGAACTCAGATATGATTCTACCCTGGCCTCTAAGATCCCTAGCTCTGGAAGAGAACCGCCGGTCTCCAATAGCCGTTTTACAAGCCGCTAATATCCCCACACTATCTGAATATATCTCCTGAAACTGCTGGAACCTCTCCGGGTCCAATATCTTCAGTTCCGCTACAGGTTTCCATTTATAAAAACTGGACCGTGGCATTCCCATACACTTCAGTGCTTCTGCTATTGTGTGACCACTGTTAACTTTTTCCAGAACGTCAGCATACTGACCGTGTATCCTGTTAAAGCTCACATTAGAGACCCACATCCTCCTCTTTTTAGCGTCAGGATATAGTTTAGGAATGATAAGGTAAGGCCAATGTCTGGACTGTTCTCCTGAAATGAGAGGATTCTCGAGCCAGCTGTGTGGAGCATGCAGGGCCGCCCACCCGGTCTAGGTCCACTAATTTAACACCAGGTAAATAATACCAGGGATGTGTGGTCGGACTGCTTGAATTAGTATATTTCCTCAGAACTATTGTTATATTATAATGAGCTCGCTGAGGAGGAATCCTTGACAATAGTGGTCCCGAGTCTGACTTGTGACATTGTACCAAAAGTATCGGTTGATACTAATGTTAGTTAGCTAATGCACTAACTTTATCTGTGTTCTATCAAATCTGTGTTTAAAATGTCCCCAAAGTATATGGGAGTGTTTGATTCGCTGTTCAGTGCCCCAAAATAAAATTCAATATATAAATCATTGCGCCAAATAATCATTTCCATAAGTAGAAAACAATGTACAGAAAATGTACTTCAATCAATTATTGTTACTTTGGGGACATGTAATTGCATGCTATAAATGAATTATTAAAATGTTTATGAAGCAGGATTATTCGGTTTATTTTGGTGATTTAATAATAATCACATTTTTAACTAAAATTTTTGCAACATATTTGCAGCTACAGCTGGAAAACAAGGCCACGTCAGCACACAAGTGAATCATACATTATAGGCACGTTTTATGGCAAGCATTATAATTCTGTGTCAGGGTCTGCCAAACATGCACGCTAAAATACGAAGCGGACTTGGAATTCCCACTCATCGTTACTCTATATTCAGTGGTACATGGCGCCAAAATCTAGCCCTCAAGGTTTTATATGGTAGGCGGCATCGACTGATGTCTAGCGCATTAAATGGCGTTAAGGACAGTTTTAGTTTTAGTTTTCAGTTAAAGGACAACTTTTATTTACAAAGTTTAGTAATCCTGCTTCATCAGTCGAACGGTTATAGATGAATAAATCTCAGAGATTAATAGACTATGTAATAACAAGTAAAGATAAAATACTAAACCCTGGAACTCACTAACCCACACTAACCCACTCTGCAATGTAACTTGATATATAGAATGTAAGATAATCAAGTTCCCCAAATGATCATGCTCCCCCTGTTGCTGCTTATCAGGGTTTAGTACTTTTAAACCACCCCTCCCCAACCTGATCCCCAACTTTATCCGTTAAAACCACCCACATGGGATAATAAACATTACATTTTCTGACCTCACATAATATAATATTAAACAGACAAACATAATATAATATTACATAACATATTAAACAATAGACTTTACATATTATATTTATACACTATACAGACGGGTCTCGCAAACCACTACACGAACACGTCTCAACGGACAAAGTTAAACAACATTATTTGTCACATACATTCCTCACATTACACACATATTTACAGTTACCGGACGGACGAGACTAAACATGTATTGTGTTCGTATCACTCCGGGAGGGCGGAATGACACAGAACAAGTCACAAAATGTTAAACTAAACAGTCAATTTAAGAAATTATAAGTTATAAATTTAACAGTATATAAATTTAACAGTATATAGTAGTTTGTGATGCACCAAGATTCTAGGGCCCCAGTTACATCCCCTTCCATGCTCACTGTATGTAGGCAGGGATTTAACGAGTTCATTTAAAGGTGCTGATTGCTTTAGTGACGTCACAAGTCATATTATAAGTACTGTGTTTTGATCCGTACTGTGTTTTGATTGGTCATTTGAGCAAATTAGGGGAGAATTTTGGCGCATTACAGTTTACACACGAACAACGTACCTTGAAACTGGATGTTGAAGGAGGAGCGGTTCTTCTTCAAATCACGGAGTATAAAACAAAAGTATTGATTGATACCACCAAAATGCTCATCTTAATCTACAATTATCTAATTAATGAAATAGGAAAGGTTTCAAAACTAGGTCTATAATGTGATATATCTCATTTCTTGATGAAGGATTTGTATGGTTCAAATGCCAGCGTTTCTACATATATGAATTGGTTCCAATAAATGAGGAACCCTATTTTGCTTTGTCACGTTTTTATCTAAATTTTCAGCAATATACCTAATCGGTAATACAACAAGAGTACTATATAATGTGAGCACTAACATCCTCTACGTGGAACTCAGTAATGTTAGGCCTTTTATTTGGAGGCCTCTTGGGGTTCTCTTAATTATGCGGTACTTCACAAACCTTGGTGAGTAGGGACTCTTGAGGTAGCCAGACTTTTTCCACCGACAATTAACAAATCAATTAAAATTTAAAGTACATGGTTCTCTTACGTCACAAGTCATAAGTATGCTTCTCTTACGGTTAATAATTGTGATAAATGACCGCCGACAGGTATACCGAACCTGATTCTAGAATATGCTGAAAATGAGTTACTTCAGTTATTCTGATGACCATTTTTACCGAAGTTTTAATCACTCAGTGGGGAATATGACAAGTTGTTCATGTTAGACGCGAGCATTAGAAGATGGCAGGCTTAATTTGAGTCTTATTCTTAGCATAATGTTCCAAATTTATGTCAAGAGAACCATGCAATATTGTAAATAAACCAATTAAATTCTAATTAATTAAATTGTAAGATAACACACTATCGCTAATTAAACTTACAGTTGGAACAAACAAATAGCATCAAACAAACACCACTCCCAAACCCCAATCTGCGTGAAACTTTGAACGTTGTTTTTATGAAATTTTACGATCTTGGAATTTTCTAGGGAAAAACAACTGAAATACGGTTTTTTGTGAAAATTTAGTAAATAAAATATACACATGATCATGATACTGTACTATTATTCGAACCTCTTGAAAATCTTGAGTGGAAGTTTGAATGTGGCAAAGAGGTTATCACTACCTGAATTTTGCCTTGGTTGCAAATATATCGAGATTTCCAAACTTGATGGCTAAGAATTAAGAAATGATGGTTTAGAAATGATGAAATGAAAGGTATATTCAGGGCAGCAGTCTACCGATATTCTTCAGATACTGCAACTTCTGAATCTGTGGAAATATCGCAAGATGTTCCCGACACAGTTTATTAAGCTCTGTAGCAGACCTCTCAGCCCGGACAAGTTCTTGAAACAGCTCAGGCTCGATCTCCATCAGTTCAACTATGTAGCGCCTCTCGTAGAAGTTAGTTTTTCTAACTCCAGTATTTTTAAAGGCCTCTGACATATTGTCTCCTGATCTAAACCTAGCCAAGACGAGCATGTACAACTTTCTTTCATACTGATAGTCCCCAAGTTTATGAAGGATTTGTATTTGCCAGGGAGATCGAGAAGGGTGGTGACGAAGTGGGGTTCGCGGATCAGCATCTGCGGTTGTGAAAATGATGAATGAAATGTGAATATAATAGGTAATATGATTTCTTAACTCAACAGAGGTTGCTCAACTGTATATCTTAATTTCCCAATATTATCATTATAAAACAACATTACAATATGACTATTTAACGTGTTAACAGACTCCCATTTCTCTTCATGTTTATAACAAGCGCGGCATACATTTCTTTCAAAAGAGTTGTCTTACATCTCGTAAGGAGTGTATGTGCACAACTAGATGACTCTTCTAGCTGCCGATACAGATCGGGATCAACTATCCTCAACTCGGCGACTGCCTTCCATTTGTAAAACGTAGACCTAGCTAGTCCTGTGGACTTGACTGCATCCATGACAGCGGTTCCACCGTTTACCCTCCTCAAGATTTCTGCATAATTTGCGTGGATGGTTTCTGCTGATGTAGTCTTCTTTTGTCTTGTCCATATGGGTTTGGCAGGGTAGTCTGTGGCAGGGATGATGATGTATCCGGGGTGTAATCTAGCTGAGGATGAGGCTGAGTTTTATACCAACTAATGTCTACCCTTACACTTATGTTTAGATTTCAGAAGAAAGTCAAAGGAGGGCCCCATTTCGCTGCAGCTCAAGATAAATACCCTTCAGCAAGGGAGATTCAACATGCTTTCTACAAATCTCGTTAAAGGCCCGAATGTGCATTTTATTTGCATTGGCATAGTTAAGCTCCCGACTAAACAAATCAAAGTCCACTGCATTCAGCTCAGTGATATGTCGACGCAGGTACCAGGACGACCGAGATATCCCCATCCGTTTACAAGCTTGGAATAGACCACCGTGTATCTTGGAGAGGAAGAGGAGTTGGTTATACTCCTCATGAATTGAGCGCAGGTCCTTTAGGGTGTGCCGGGCACTTCGTAACCGGGACCGGTCGGTGTGGTAGGGATCTGAGGGAACTCCAGTAACTCTACCAGGAGTGAAGATGGCAAATGTAGAAGAAATGGGAACGTGAGCAGGCCAGAACGATTGAATTACACTTTCGGCTTATAATGTTAAGTGTCAACGAAAAGGCAAATAGCATGTACGTATCATGATTTGGAAAAATTGGGTAATTTGAGATTGAAATTAACTTTAAGGACATCGTTCTAAGTTTCACGAATGTAAAATAAATTTCACTTTCCCAACCGCCTGTAACCCCGCATCCCCAAGAATACAATACATAGTCCATCTCTGAAATCCAAACATTCAAATCGTTCTAAAAAAGTTTGTTTTTCACTTACTCGGATTGGTAGATCCACTGCCGCCGGCCTTGTTGTCCATTAGACTCTTTCTGAAATAAACGAAGTGAGGATCTGAGAGAAGTAATTATCGAAACTTAATCATTTAATTACATGTTTCTAATTCAAATGTAACAAATTATGAGATCATTTGTTCAGCTCTTGCAAGGACAGATCACTGAGTAAATATTTGAAATATTATTAATTCTAATTTACACTCCAAGATTCAATCAATTATCAATTTGACAACAATTAATATAATTAACAATACTTACAATTCTCCGCCTCTAGAAGAACCAGGCATTTGATCATTACCGGAATTCATCACCCCACTCTTGCTCGGGAACAAGTCGTTAATGCTGCTTGTAGTGTTTGATAAGCTCAACATGGAGAGCGGATTGTTTGATTTATCAAGGAATGTCGACGAAAGTGAGGATGGCTGAGCCGTGGTCACCAAGTTAGCGACGCCGATGTTTTCCTCGTTTGATTGCAGGGTACTCATCAACTGATTGATAGTACTTTGGGGAAGCAGCTGGGAGTCGACATGACCGGAGACTTGCATTGGTTCGACTACTTCATCCTTGATGGTCACCACCTCCGGAATTACACCCTCTGGTTTAACCTCAGTGATGGAGTTATCCTCGGGTTCAGCGGCTGGAGCGTATTGGTTGTAAGAATGATCCGAAACAGTTGTGGAGGACGAGGAGGTAGGTTGGGAGGACGATTGTGGGGCGGGAGCAGGATGAGCGGGGGCGGGTGTTTCAGAGACAGCGAGGGAGACTGGAACAGAGCTGGCGGATATGTGAGTGGAGTATTGGGCGGTGGAGACGGACACTGGGGCTGGAATCTGGGGGATAACATAGGTTAAACATGTTCGTGGCACTGACGTAGAATGAAATACTTAAAGAAGTGAAATACTTAAACATTATTATTAATGAAGTGTGATTTTTATTGTGACATTGTTCAAACTGCATCTACGGGCCTCTCTCATACAATTTTTAAAAGTTTCATAAGCTGGTTGCTCACGATAATAGCCCAGCACAAAAACAGCCAGAAATATAAATTATGCAATTTAAGCTTCTAAAAAAACCAATAGCCTGCGATATACCCATGCACATGACCAGAATCCAGACGTCTGATTGGTCCTTGAAACTGTATAATTATGCTGCATATTCCTAACCAGCTCTTCAGGCACATATTCCTAAACCGGGCAGGTAGTGCGAGTGTAACCAACTTACCTGAACAGGTATTGAAGCAGGTTGGTGTCTTGGTTGCGAGCTGTACTGTTGACTGGACGACGGTTGCGAGGTGTACTGTTGGCTAGACGACGGTTGGGAGCTGTAATGTTGATTCGAGGCCGCTTGGGAAGTATAAAGTTGACTAGTTATAGGTTGAGAACTGTATTGGTGACTGGTTGAGGGTTGTAAAGATGGTCTCTGAGCGATGGGAAGGGGTGCTATCTGCTTAGGGACTGACTGCTGAACCCTGAGGATAAATGATGTTCGATTACCTTCAGGAGACCAATTCTTTTAGACTATGCGCATCATCCTGTATATATTTTAGTTTCCCTTTTCTTGACTGCTTTAATAAAATATAAAATCCATTTTGTGATAAAAATACAAGACTTTATGAGAAACCAATCTAATCGGTCGAATAAAACGTTGATAAACTTACGAGAGGATTGGAGGAGGGTTTGGTTCGGGAGGTAGTTGGATTATGTCTTCTACTTCTCGGTTTATACTGCTCAGTTCGTCCACATCCATCGTGTTCGACGAACCGCGAAAATCTGAAACTGTAAAAGAGAGGTTTAAGAGATATAGATTATAGATGCCTGATAAAAGTGGAACGAACGAATTAACAGTTGATTCATCAAACACTGCAGAACACAGCAATCGTATCACAATTTCTTAATTATTAACAATCGAGTTTTCTATGTTCGTAATAAATATTGATTCTTTGAACAAACCTGATTCATTAGAATCATCGATGTCTTCTGCTAGGTCTTCGAGAGCGTCTGCACTAGCGTCTGATACAGCCTCTATTACAGGGGCAAGATGTTGTACTGAAGGAAAATTTATTTTAGTGAGTTGAGAATTTGGTATGTCACCAGAATGCCAGACACTAGGCTTCCTAAGTACCTGCTTAACTGGACCCCTGCCCATGGGAGAAGATCTAGGGGCCGTCCAAGAAAGAACTGGAGGAAATGTTTGCTGGAAGATGCTGCATCGTTTACAGGAAACACTGACATAGACCTAGAAGGAGCGAGCGAGATGGCTAGTGACCGAAAACTTTGGAGGGAAATGATACGTCACAAACGGGAGTTCATTGGTGCAGGCCACTCGAATGATTGAGGAGACCTAATCAAGTAAGTAAGAGTTGAGAATTTAAGTTAATTTTACTTATTAATAATTGACGTTGTAAAGATTGCTTTAATAATATTATAATTACTCACCTATGGATATGACCCGTACAGCTGTATCCAGTAGAAACATAAGAAAGTCATTGTCAGTCTTCTCCGTGAAATGGAACTCTGATTTCTGTTTGTGGTAAAAACCAAGCACTTCTGTGTTAGCGAAGATGGGACCGGTTACTTGAACCATGGGGACGGGGAAACTGAGATGTAATTAGTGAGTTAGTCAGGTTACAAATTAATTGGAAAAAACATCATAAAGTAGAGTAGGCGCCAATAAGTTTAAACAACTTTTGTTTGATCAATCAGGTGGCCACCTCATGGAAGCAGAAAATCTTTCGTACAGTGATATCCCTATATTTTACATTCGGCAATCATACGACTACGTGAAACACCGCTTCAAGAGAGATCAGTGCAGAATGTGTAAGTAAAATGATAACGTTAGTTTTGATAATCACAAAAGTATGACGTAGTAAATCAGTTAAGTTATCACCAAATATAACAATGAGCAAGGGGAATCAAGGGCGATTGTAGCTGACATTAATGCAGTGCTATCAGTCACTAAACTAAAATGTTAACTCGAACTAAACTATTAACTCTAACTAAACTACTCAATATATTAAATCGATCAAAAGGCTAGCGAACGTTCAAACATTAAAGGTATCGACAAGTGAACTTCCTCTAAAGAGAAACAGTGAGCTATTTTACAATATTGAGCGCTCGATTCCACTCAGCGTTTCCTCAGACTTGCATCATTGATTTCTTATGCGCGCGGCGCATTAAAATTATGATCAATAATTCTATTTTGACGCGCCAACAGCAAAAAACGCTTATTTACTTATTTTTAAATTTAACTTACTTATTTAATATTTTAGCTACGCTGCAGCAGGGCCATCAAGTGAAATGACCACCCTTACGCTTTACTTCGGACAACCATTGCTGTATAAATACGGCATGTAATCGGCACTTAAATTACAGGAACTGAAGGATCAAATCTAACACGTCAACATTTGGACTTTAATTGACGATGTCAATTCATCGCAGCTCGTTGACCATTGTTAATGGTTTGGCCCGGTGCAAGCTACTTTTATTCGTAACAAGTGCCATTTCAATTCGAGAAGAAAGCGGCGCGCTCTACTTCGAAAAGATTTAAACGAGTAACATCCGTCAACGCAGCTCGGCGAGGCACAGTATTGACGGATGTTTAAAAGTAACATATGCTCAAACCCTAACGATAAATTATAGTTTTACCAACTTCCTTAATTAAATATAAAACGGTCATATTACGTGATCGAGATATAAACAGTTTTTTGCCAAAATCTGATCTCGGCAGGGGAGCATGTCATGGGGTTAATAATTGACCATTGTTAATGGTTTGGCCCGGCGCGTGCTACTTCGTAGCACTTGCCGTCGAGAAGAAAGCAGCTCGCGATACTTCGAAGAAATCTAAACGAGTAAATAACATCCGTCAAGTTAACAAATAACATAGCCATGTGTCTACGCATACTTGATACTGCGTGACGCGCTTGTTTCACAAAAACAAAGTATTAGTAAATAGAATCTCGTGTCACCTTCGCAGCGGTCGCGCGCTACTGCAAGCGAGAGGGGTCTGGTTAGAGAATAAAGCAAGTCATGTATGATTGATTGGAATCAGCGTCCAAAATACAGTTGTTTAAGTGTTCAAGTTGGTCTCAACTGTATTTCTAAGATAGACTATATATAATATAAAATGAGGTGATTTAGCACGCTTGCTCCCATTACTTAACTTGACGGATGTTACTCCATACTCGTCTAAATTTCTTCGAAGTAGCGCGCGCCTCTTTCTTCTCGAAATATTAGCCCGACGGCACGTGCTACGAAGTAGCGCGCGCCGGGCCAGTCCATTAACAACGGTCAATCACATTACTTATCATACATTGTAGACCCGCCGTTCACCTATTATACTAGTAGTAGGTAGTGCGTCATCGACAGTGAGCCGCGTAGGATGGTTTTTTAGCGCTAATTTCGGCCAGCACAATTTTCTTCAAACCAATAGATATTCAGTATCCTTCCCGACTTGCTCTATCCAGAGCCCTTGCACGAGTGCGCGGCTGTATCGTAGTCACGATCGTTGTAGTGCGATGCACTATAATTGGGCCGCTCCGCGCCGCCGCGCATCTTCTATGCAGCCACAGTATGCAGATCGGCGAGATGCGAAGGATTTACATCGTGACGGTGAATCAATCACGATTGATTATACTTAGTGAAACGACAATGAGGCCCAGCAAACCCTACCGGCCGGGGTATATCTCCAAGCGTGCTAAATCACTCTACAGTCGATCTTCGAGATTGTTGTAAAAGGGCCCCCAACAGTTGAAATCAACTGCAATCGATGTATTTTCGGACGCTGATTCCGAATCACCCCCCATCACCCCATGACATAGGGTTAGAATGCCCCCCTGACGAGATATTGGCGAAAAACTGTCTCGATCACGTGATATGACCGTATAAGGAAGTTAGTCTAATTTCTCGTTAGGGTTAGAGTTTCAGCATATGCTTTTGTTACGAATTGGGTTAGGGTTAGGGTTGGGATCAGATTAGAGGGTTAGGGTTTAGAATAGTCGTTCAGGACCATGGCTAGAGAACAGGTTGAAAAAGTCACGTGACAGTCGAGTGTAGAGTGATTAATCATCATCCGTATATCTCCAAAAGTTAAATAAATAGAACCTTCCGGTTTTCAACAAAATTTCCGTCTTGTAAATTTAAAGTTGGCTCCCCAGGAGCCAAATTTGGGACAACATAGATTCTGAACTAAACCAAAAAGTTTGATTTTGGGCTAAATAAAAGATCACAGCTTTTAAACGTTGCGAAGTCATGTCGTTGTCATGACTACTAAGCTAAATGCAGCGTGCGAAAGTTAAACTCGATGTGACGCGCGAGGACAAACGTGCTGTTGAAAATCTATCACCTCTAGCGAGCCCAGCAGGCGGTAAGGTTTTCTGGGTGGGCGAGAGAGCTGCGGAGAGTTCATAGTTCAGCTGCAGAAGAAAGCAGCAGGAAGGGGGGGGGGGGGGGGGGGGGGGGGGGGGTGAGAAGGGGGGGGGGGAGGTGCAGGGAGGTAGGGGGATGTTTTACGATATAAGAATTATAATTTCGGCGGAAAATGTACGAAGTTTTAAAAGTAGATTTTGAGGGTGAAGATCGTGTTTTACCTACCCATCCAGAAACCCCCTTTCATGTTGGCAAAATTCTTTACTTTCTTTTGATATTTTAAAATTGAAATTTGACTTGATTGGTGGAGAGTTATGGTTTGTCAAAGTGAACGTTTTAAAATGAAAGCGCAAATTCTTTTAAACGCGCGTAGGTTCGGCCTGAAACAACGGATTATAACATATAATGTTTATCTCTAAATCCAGTGCACAGTGAAACATTATGAACTGGAATTGTCATCTTACATTTTTTGATCGGAGTAACATTTTGAAGATTAACTCAATCTTCAAGTTCAAGCGTTCGGCATCATTGCAGAGGATTTGTAGAAAAACGTTTTGGCAGTAACTGAAAGTAATTTATTTTAATCAAGGTTGTTAAATACGTATTAGGAGGGAATACGTATTGGAATACGAATACGTATTATTCCTCGAAAATTGACGTATTACGACGTATTCTTTATTCAAAAAATTCAAAAATTCAAATATGTTGAGGGAACTGAGCTTTAGAAAATGGTTTTAAACTTTGATAATTGCGAAATCGTTTTAGGAAACGAAATCAGAAATCATTAAATATGTATTAATATGTAATTGATAATTTCGCAAAAATGTTAGCTTATTATCCATGAAATTTGATTACAAATTTAAGTTATCATGTATAACTGCACTCCTTTAATGCATGATCAATGATGAGGGTGGCGCGCAGCTGTAACATGTAATGTTTAATTTTGACAAATCAGCGTATTACGGCGTATTATGGCGTATTTGTGGACGTATTTAACAATCCATGGAAATTACCGTATTCCGGCGTATTACGACGTATTCTTTATTAGAACCGAATACAGAATACGTCGTATTCTTTCACGAAAATTTGACGTATTTAACAACCTTGATTTTGATTCATCAAAAGGGTCGAAACTCGGTTTATCAGATGGTTTGGGACATGACGGCGGTAATGCATTACTGATTTTGACTACAAAAACTTGACCCACAATTATGACTGTTCACAATATGAATATTGAGCCTACAGTCATATATGTGACTGAATTGTATTTGTAAGCTATATATTTTTATTCCAAAAATTCTAATATGTCCTCAGCTACTGTATGTTTTACAGTTTTAGGAGAAGGAGACCATTATATTAATTAAAATAGAGTATAGATTATTCCCAGCAGTACTTTATCATCCAGAAATAACAAGGGCACGTGCACTCGACATTCCGGCACAGTAAAATTTACTGGGCGGCGCTCAGCCTGTCATTCCGCCGAATCTTTATTCTGTTTATGAACATAATAGCCTGGGGTCCCCAGGTAAAGTAAAATGAGAGTCAGAGAAGAAAGAACAGTTTGAGTAACTTTGTCAGACGCGTCAGTATAGCCGTTTTCATGTCAGAGAGATCCTTCGGCGAACTATCAGTAGCACACAATGGCAGGTCAGTCTGAGTCACAGGGGCCGCGCGGGAGCTGAAACCAGGTTTTCGATCAAAAGCTGCCATTTGTAGTCAAACGTCGCCAACAGCTGCTCTCGTCTAATGAAATTGCGGCACGAGAGCAATACAACTGTTGGTGACGTTTGAGTTTGACTACAAATGGCAGCGTTTGATCGAAAACCTGGTTTCAGCCCCCCCCCTGTTCAGTCCATCAGTAACTGAAAATAAAACCCATTACGCCAGTGTTGCTATTAGGAGCTAATGTTTCAGTTTAGTTGATTGACGGTATCAACCTATCGAGATCGCACTGCTCTGCGAAGCAGAGCAACGATCTTCGATGCAAAGCAAGAATGCTAGTTTGCGCGGCGCGTCGAAGTCCTCCAAATATTTAAATACAAACTGGTGTTATCGGGAAGGTTGGTAAGATATAATCAGAACTCGGCTAATTATATATTTGATTTCAAACAAGTCATTTTAGGTTATACTAATACTATTCCGGGAACATAAATTAAAATATCGTATTTCTGTCGATAAATGGTTACATTTTTATGTAGATCGATTAAAGGTGGTTTCAACTGTCGGGGGCCCTTTTAGAACAATCTCGAAGATCGACTGTAGAGTGATTTAGCACGCGCGATTTTTTACCG